CAGACAACCCCGTAACAATATGCGTTTTGTACTGCTGTTACACAGCACAAAACGCATAAAAATCGACTTTTGTAATGACTTGGTAATCGCCATGCTTCGTCTCAATCTCAGTGTTTAAGCTTTGCTTTGCAGCCGTCGTGCGCCCTATTCGCTACAGCTTTTCAAATGCTCATTTTTCAGTCACGGCCCTTTTAATATTCGAATGAACATTTTGCAATGCTTTCAAGATTTTTATACTGTCTTTATTTGCGAGTCTTAGTCAGAGATAGAATACAGAATTTTCTTCAAGAACTGTTCAGTTTTCCAAAGGCGTTAAACAGCAGCTCACGCTGTTGTAGTCTTCAGTTTCTTAAAATTATTCATCTCAAACAAATGCTAATTCAATGTGGGAGGACTGTGGAGGTCAGTTTTTTGTCATGATCCATTCTGAAGTCACTGCCAAAAAAGTACATTTTTTCTCACTCTTATTAATGTCGGCCCTACAGATTGAGGTTTTTTTTTTTTTTTAAATAGTCGTTTTAGAATTCGACAATTCATGAAACTGTTCAGCGCACAGAAAGTCCTTCAATTAATAACAGAAATATTTAACAACGAAGATGCAATGGCCAAATGTTTCGTTTGCATAAATATCCCAATGGCCACATGTTTCGTTTGCTGTGTAAAAAGCTTACACAAGAAGCACGCAAAGATGAAGCTTGAAAATTTGTAGGCAAAAATACGCGTGGTTTGAAAAAAACCATAACTCGCACATTAAAAATGTAGGCTACGAAGTACAGTTAAGCCAACGAACACATCGATTAGTCATCGACTGGTTCCTGACGCTCGGCATCGCCAAAGAAAGAAGAAGCGTTATAACCTTTGGCGTCACTGATGTAGACGTGATGAGAGGCCCGGACATATGTCGAAGATGTTTGGCATACCCGAAAACCATATAGCAGTATAGCACAACATTTCACAGCTACGCGGCAGCTCATGACTTGCACTTCTTTTAATTATATTCTTCAAAGTAAAACTGGAATTCTTTGATTTTTGACGGCAGTAAAGCACTGAAAATAATGCTAATAACAGCAGAAGAGAGGAAGAAGATGATAGCGGTGATGGTGCTAATGAAAGTGCTTACATTAGCGGTGATAATAGAAAAAAAAACCAGAAACAAAAGGGCAGTGTACCTAATAAAGCGTATCAATCTGGCACTGATGCCGGGCATCAATGTCGACAAATGACTGTGTGGTTGCTAGTTATTAAAACAGCGTAATGAGGGAATGCAAAATTTAAAATAAAGTGTGCTGTTCGGGTACTGGTGATTATTGTGCGATGTTTGTTTCCACTGCTGCGGTTGAATAACCTCCGAAAATTGTTTTATTAACTTGAGCCTTTTTGCTCATGTAACCTTGGACTGTTTCAGCAGAAAAAAATATTTTGGCCAGATCATGTCTGCTAGCGTGTATATGTATTTTATGCGTTTTTGCGTATTTATGTAAACGCAAAAACGCATATTGGCAAGAAGATGCCTATGTTTGTGTGTCTGTCCGTCCATTTATTTGCATTTTATCATTCACTTTCACATCAGTAACCAGAGAAACTAGGAAGCTGAAATTTTTGGATCACCTGTGTATCCCGTATGATCTTTTTTAGGATTACTGTTCGTGTACACTTTGGCGCCACTTACGGATGCCGAAAAAAAAACGTGCAAATTTTTTGATGAATAAACAATTTCGGGAACTAAACAAGATGGGTAGCCGAAATTCACACGGATATTCTGTGTCCTTGTGTGAGCTAAAGTTATAAATTCATTTAAAATGCACATCTGCGTCACGTTTACGGGCACACCAAAGTTGGGACTTCGGCGTCGCTGACATACTGCCGATTCTGGAACTGAAATGATTAGTGAGCGCTACTTTTGCGAGAATATTTATTTTCCATACCGAGGCGCATAAGCATAAAATGAGTCTTAGCGTACTCTTGTATAGCGTGCTCAAACATTCCAAAGATATTTGTAACGAAAAGCGATTTCGCCAACCAGTCAAGCTAGGGGCTGAAACTTTAAGAGGATATTCCATGCCGGTGTATGAATTACATATTTCAAACCTAGCTTTAAAGCGTGACTAAGTCTCACGTGCGCACAATTAGTTCTAGAAACTGCTGGGACCGAATTGAGTCGGTAACCAAACTGAGCACGAAGCAGCGTTTTTCTAAGAAGTCTGCTACACATGTTTGGACTATTAAGCGTAAGATAAGTGTTCGCTTAGGCAAGGACTCTGTATGCGGCACATCAAACTGCAATACCGCAGTCACACACCACTAGTAAAAGCGATCTTTCTACAGGATGAAAAAAACGCATGATCGTAACGGCAAGCCGGGTGCTTCACTACCTGGGTTGTTATTTATATAAATACGAAAAAACATACTAACAAAAGGTTGCGTGCGTATGTGTGTTTTCGGATTTTGTGTCTCGCTTTCAACCCAGCAACAGGGAAACTAAAAGGACAAGATTTTGGAAGTGTGTTACCACTCCATTAACAACCCTCAAAATTAACGATCATTGGGCTCAGTTGAGCAGGAACAATCTGAGGACGTTTGTTGTTCACGTGCCGACCAACGTGCGTAAAATGAACTTTTGCTCATGCATGTGCCCTTCGTCCTAACGCACCAAATATTCAAACTGCTTCATTATCGCTATTCTTTTTTCTCGACAATCAAAGAGGCAAAAGAGTTGGAATGCTATATTGTGTGATTTCGTAAGACGCAGAAAATGTAGTAGCAACTTGCATGCACGCTAGGACTTGATATATGGCTACGGCAAATTTTAGGTCGAAAAACCACATTTTCGAACTAACAACACTGGCGGGTCGCTATTGAGTTTATTTGTGACTTCAGAGCCTATTGTCTCTTGATCAGTGAATCATGTTCAAAATTAGTTTGATTCTGTGGGTTGAGAACACAGCAAGCATTGTAGCTGCCAACACGTCGCAACTAAAAGGATCCAGAAAATCAAGAGTAGTTCGTCTTTTTCCGAACTTCATATCTTTACAAAAGAACCCCATTTGCAGTACTATCTAGCATCCCTCGGTTAATTTGGAAGAACGATAAGCCCAATTGGAGCTTTTTGGTCGCCCTCAGTTAATTTTTTTAGCTTTAACTTTTTTGCGAAACGTTAGCTGTTTGCATAGGGCTAGTGGTTTCACCCTCCACAGTTCCGAAAGCACTCTAGTTACCTAAATTACAAATTCAGTGCCTGCTGATCGCAAGAGTGCTGAGCAGTTTGCTGCTTTTGCGAACATCGATCGGACTGGAAGAATTCAAAAGACCTTTATATTTTGCAACACAAAGTTATTTCTGGTACCCTCTCTTTATTTCATCTTTTGCCTTATCTGTGACATGCAGTATTGGTTCAAAAATAATTTGTCAGTATAATACAAGAGCATTTCAAACTTTAGTGCAGTACAGAAGAAATGATTAGTGAGGTAATCCAAGATTCTTCAGATGCTCCAAGCACTCATCGGAAAACGTTTTACCGAGATGAAGCCATGCTTCATCGGTTGCTTCATCTACATCGGTTTTCGTTTTCAGATATCCCAAAAATACTGAGAAGAAAGCCTACAATTACAATATTTACTGGATTTTCTGGGAAAGTGTAATGTCAAAATCCATCGCTACGCAACAAAATTAGACTCCAGTGCCCTACTGCAGTGACAAAATGACAGTAAGGAAGTAGTCCTGCAAACCAAGACAAAGAAAACAGAGGTGATGCAAAAAACACTGGAACAACGGATGCTTGGAATATCGTTTCTTAACCATGTGGGCAATTAGACACTCAGTGAGACGAGTGGTATGACAGATTTTGTTACGGCCACGAAGTAATGTGACAATCACGACATGCTGCTTGTCCCTCTGACAACAGATGCACGTCAAGTAGCACTGAGTGATACTAGCGATGACGGTGCAAACGAACACACAGGCAACCTATTTTAAATTTAATTTGGCGATTGACTGCTTCCTGAGCATTATTGTTATTATTACTGTTATTATTATCATTATTATTGTTGCTCTTGTTATTGTTAACGTTACTGTTATCGCTGTTATTATTTTTATCATTTTTATGCGTTTTTGCTGTGCAGCGTTATTGCGCCGCTACAGCGAGCAAAAACGCATGTTGTCGAGAGGTCGCCTGTGCGGGTATTCAGAAGAGAGTGAACTTTGTCACCCACTTTCAACACAGCAATTAGAAAAGCTGATAGGCTGAAATTTTAAGGACATATTCCCACCGCTTGTGCCACCTTCCCATTTTAAAATCTCCGCTCATACGCGCCTAGACTTCGCGTACAGATCCCCCAAAAAAATATGCAAATTTCTTTGGTGGAAAACGATTTCGCGAACCAGACAGAGCACAAAGCTGAAGTTTTGCAGTGATATTCTCTGCGCATATGCGAGCTAAAGATTTCAAATTCAGCTATCACGCACCCTTGTGCAGCGCGCACAATCACATCAAAGTTTGCAGTTGTCACTGTGCTAACTCGAAAAATTGCCAGAAAACGGTGGCTGGAATTTTCTCAGCATATTTATCGCCCATATAGAAATAGCATACCTAGACTGAGTTTCAATTCGCACTTGTGCCAATTAGGGCATTTCAAATGTGTTTGTTGCAAAGTGGCTATTTCGCTTACGGGGTGCGAGGTTGGGATTTCGCTAGGATATTCTACTTTTATGTTTGATCTTAATTCTGCTTGAAAATGAAATTCACTGCGGGGGTTATGAGAAATGCTCAACTTTACCGTAGAATCAGAAACGAGTGCGTTTTGCAGATTTCATAATCCTCTTCCGATTTCCATGAAATTTGTATTTTTTCAAAGAGCGAGCATTTACAGAAAAACCGACCGAGCTTCATACAAACCTAGTCGAAAGCGTACCGGCTGCCAGTACGAAGATGCGTTTTTTGCACAGTTCCCCCCGCAGGTTTTTTTCGCCAGTGGCACGTTCTTCCTGGCAGAT